TGACAAGATAGGAAGGTTGCATTTCAAAGCCTGCTCTTTATTTCTGCATCCAGAGGAAAAAAAGAGTTGTGGGCAGTCTGGCCCTCTCCCTCTGCAGACAGGGGGACCTGCACAATTTACTGCAAGGAAAACAAAGACCAGGATCCAAGGATCAAGGTGATCACAGCAAAACCGAGGTGAGCACAGCAAAAGGAGAATGTAAAGAGCTAAATTCAGCATTGTGTTTTCAGTCAGGAGTTCTGTGGTCACCAGTGGACACGGACACACGAGGGCTGGACCTGGACCTGCATGACAAAGGCACTTCCTCACCTCATCCTTTTTTCCCAATCCTGCTCCTTTTTCCCAATGCTGTCTCAGAGCTGGACAAGATCACACATTCACACTTTCTGCATCCACTTGAGACAGCTCTTCAAGTGACCTGCTTTTACAGAAATGCTGACTTCAGTGGAAATTATTGTGCATCACACTCAAAAACAGGGACATAGGAGGCAAACCTATTAAGCACCTTCTGTACCAAGACCAAACAGCCAGGCTTTGTGGAGCCCTTTTTTCTCATCTCCATGAAAACCAAGTCAAAGCTACAAAGCTGCACAGCTACTGTCAGCTGTGAAAAACTGGCTATCATGGTGGGAGAGAGCTTTGCTGGAGGAACAGAGAGAACAGAACAAGCAGATAAAAATTATTAAGAGGAAAACAGGTCACTCGGTGTTTTTCTCACGTGGGTGGCTTTTTCCAGTTAAAATATAAAAAAAAAATAAAAATCCTCCTTTTCCCCCGTGAATCGCTGGAATGCAGACAGGACTGTAAAATATAAAATGTGATCCAGCTGGAAATCCATAGCTCAGCACAGCAGTTCTCAGGCTTTTTCGGATGTATCTCCCTCTCAAACCCATTCCACACTTGACCCTGTCTCCCCCCATGTAAGCACCTCTGACAAGGAGCCTGAAGCTGGCAGGACACACCACGGAGGAAGGTGTCATGCAACAAAAAGGCTCTGTGGGAGCACCTGGGTGGTACTTTGTGGTTGGATGGAGAAGTTTAAGGTGGGGACACATCAGGGGACAGGGAAAAAAAAACCACAAACCTGAGAAGATGCCACAGTAACCAAAGACCTCACCCAAAACCAAGTGATGACTCTTCCCCCCCTAAGAAACACGAAGGACCTTGTTGTGCAGACAGCAGCTTTCTATTGAAACCATTTTGGCACTTGCCAGTTGTTGTCTTTCATTGTTCTGGACAAAGATGTCAGTATTTCTGGTGGATTTTGACCAAATCTGATTCATGCTTTCCAAGCTAAGAAAACAGAACCAAAATCCAAGCTCCTGTGGAATTTGAGTTCTAAGGTATCAGAAGGGAAGGGCAGAAAAGCTAAATAAAGAACTAGAGGACAATGGGATATAAAATACTAGTTAAAAAGAGGTATTTCTGGCCATGGAAAACACTTAAGCCAACCACACAGAAGTGAAAGCACAGAACATAAGATTTCCAGAACTGAAACAAAATACTTTTAATTTCTGTAGGGTGTCCTAAAGCTTTCACCTGAGCAAACGAGGTCTGGGAAAGTTTATTCTGTTTTGCCGTTGTCCAACAAAAATTAAGTATCAGTTCCCACAACATGCCATGGAACTGAAATGTGTATGTTGATGTACTTTAAAAACTCCTTTAGAGATATGGGTTGAAGTATGTAAAAACAAAGCTCATGAGTTTTGCATCACTAACGAGCACTTTTTGCACTGATGTGTTAGGGAAGGTTGCAGAATGAGAATATATTTATTTTTCTATCAGCTACACTACTGGGATAACTCACATCAGTCCACATATTTCAATATAGGTGTAAGGGGGGATCTGAACTGTCTTTCTTAAAACTCAACTTGACATTTGACAGCATGCAAAATAAATAATAATCAATAAATTTCCACAAATTCTGAAAGGTAGAGAGAAGAATACAAGAGCCCTTGGGGGAAAAAAAAAACAACTAGTACAAGAGTATCTGAAATCCAAGGCACCTTCCAATTCCTGTTCTTTTTAATTTGGTATTTGCTCATTGCTGAGCACCTTTTGTCATGCAGCCCTGACTGGTCTGGTGGAGCTGCTGAGGCAAGACTAAATCTGGGATCTAATTCTAGGTCTAGCAACCCTAGATGATGACTGCAGTTTATTCCACAGCAGAACTAACTCACCCTCACTCCGCTTGTTAAACCACAGGGCAGCTCTGGCAGAGAAAATGTGCTGCCTCTCAGGAGAGGCTGATCAGCCTCGCTGAGCCCACAGGGTGTAATCTTATTTTCCTGTGCTCACTTTACCACAATGCACTTGCTCCACCTGTTGTCCACTTGCTTTTCTACAGCTGTAATTTGTGCAATTCCTTTGCCTGTAGGGATACTCGGGGATCTTTATGACTGCTTTCTCACTCCTAGCACTGCATCACTGCCTTCCATAGAGGGGAAAAAAACCCTGCAGCTCAGGAATAGCTGAAAAATAGCTGAAAAACCACAGATCTTAGAGTTGCTCAGCTTTAATCATACATTATCATTGTTGTATGAGTAATCATCTTGTTACTGAGAGCCTGACAAACGTCTGTCAGGAGAGCAGGATGCACTGGTAATTAATTAATTATTAATTATCCTCAGTCTGGGTTATGGCATTAATAGCACATGCACATTCCTACTTTCCAGCTCTTCTGCTAGATTAACACCAGGAACAAGGAATAAAAAATGGCTTTTACTGAAAGAAACAGGTACTTCCACTACACAGCTCTGGCAGCACCAGGATAATGACACACCACGAGTGTTCTTTTTTTCAGTTTTTTTTATTCAGTTGTGCCATTTGTTCCTCATTGGTAGAAATGACCAAGCTGGAATATGGCACCAAATTCTGCCTGGCTCCCCTGAAGTCACCAGCAGCCCAAATGTGAGCATTTGCTGCCACACTGCTTTCCTGGCAGAGAGAAAGAAAATTTCTTTCCCCAAATTAATACTTTCATGCAAGTACCAGACTGAAGGTGAGGAAATACGTGCTGTGCTGAGGGGGAGCTGGGACAGACCTGAGGAAGAGCATGGCTCTCTTAATGAGGCGGTAATGCTTGCAGAGACAGCATTTGTAGTGCCAGGGCTCCCCTTAGGGCCACAACTGCTTTCTGAAGCCTGGTAAAAGTAATTGCAGCGCCACAGCAACAAGCACAGAATAATCCGAGCTGGAAGGGATTCACAAGGCTCAACTGAGCTGTGGGTCAATGCCCCTCCTTTTAAAAGAAGTCATCTTCAGGCCATTCCATTGCACTGGGAGGGACAGCACAGCTCAGCAGCAGCTGTAGTCTGGTGTCTGCTGCCCTCCCCTGCTCTGTCAGCATAACGGGAAGGGCAAGAACAGGGAGCCTCTTCCCCTGCTCCCCCTTTTTTCTGCAGCATGGGGACACGACCTGGCTGCTAAATTCTGCTGGAATGGCCCCAAGAAGGCCTGGCTGCTGAGAAACAAGGAATAAGGCAGTGGGAAGAGTGCCATGCCACAGCCATCCTGCTCTCTGTGCTGAGCTGAAGTTCTCTCTTATATCCACCCACCCCCAGAACCTCTGACCACCGTAACACAGGGCAGAGGCAGCAACACCTGCTCAGCACAGGTCTCAAAGGGAGATTCCAAACCCTTCTGCACCCTCTGCTTGTATCATTAATCAGTTCCCACCAGAGTTCTGATTCAGAGTGCTTCCCTGAGCACCAGAGCTGTCACATCAACTTCCTCTCCTGCCCACAGGAATTTAAGGCTGAGGAGATGCTGAGGCCAGCAGAGAAGACAGACAAGGCAAATGTCCTTTATGGTAAACTCTGAGAATGAGCACTCTCCACAAACTAAAATGAAAAAAAGAAAAAACAAAACAAAAAAGGAAGAAGAAAAGCCAAGTTGAAATTTTGCAAATGTGACTAGGTAGAGTCAGTGTCTCCTCAGGCTGTGAACAGCAGGTTCATAGCAAAGTCCTTGGCACAAAGGTATGACAGACTGAAAGCAAGCTGGTCTTCAGATGGTCTTTTCCCAACAAAAGAAACAGTGGGCACTGCTCTGGAATAATCTGAGGTGTTACTAAAGCAAAGTACAGACTGGGGGAAAGGGAGGGAATACACCTTAAAATACCAATACAATTTGGAATTGGCTGACAGCAGTGCCACATTAACTGCAAAATGATAAACTTAGATCTGTTCCATCCATCCCACTCAATCTCAACACAAGACCAAGTTTTAAAAAGGTCTGTTTCTTTAGTATGCTTTTTTTAAGCCCCACAGCTGTCTTCCCCACTTCTAGCTGAATGTTCAACGTTTTTAGGATTTTTATACTGCCTCCCATCCTCCCAGCACTCAAGGCTTTCCCAGCAATAAGAGGCAGCCCTCAGCAGGTTTGCAGTTCCATGTGGCTGTCACTGGAGCTCCAACTCTGCTTGGCATCAAAGTGCTTTGGAGACACACCATCAAAAAGTAATGCCTCTTACTAAAAGGAAAAGCAAGCATGGGAATTGGTAAGCATTTGTTTAGATCCACTGTTGTGGAACTAAAGTTCCTTGTTCCCAAGTAAATGTCCCCATAGTTTTGAAGGGGTATGTATTCCCTCCAACACTTCTTTCCATGTAAACACCAGGAAGTGTTGGCTCCAGCACTATTTAAACCCAACTGACTGCATGATGTGTGATAAACAACTGCTTGAGTAGTTTTGGAACCCTGAAGGTCAGTTTTATTTACTTATCAGTCCTGAAAAGGAAACAAACGGGTTAGGAGTAGAAGGAAAAAAAAAAGACTGAAGCCAAATTAAATTTTATTTTAGATGATTTATTGAGTTATAAAGAACCTGCCAGCTCCACCATATTTACAAAGATTTTCAAGAGGATCTAGAGCTATTACTGCTACTGAACCACAAGTTAAAAATGCATAAACAAACCAAATCAACCACATCCATTATGTTAACATTATGTAAAAACACCATTTACCTTATAGGACTTTGAGGCACACTCAAACACAGGGAAAAATGCTTCCCAACCACTGATCTCTAAAGCAAGATTCTCATTTCTCCCTCTTGATGCAGCTATGCCTGAAGATCAGAAATCCTTATGCCACTGTTGATGGAATTTGGTTTCTGTTCTTCAACAGACATGGTTTCTGAATCAGGATTTTAATTAAAGGTTTATTAATTTAGTTTAAAAGGTTACTCAGAATTGCAAGGCATTAAAATAATCTTAAAGAAAACGGTGAAATCCCCAGTTGGTTCCACTTGATACTTTTGTGAGGTGTTATTGCTGCCAGATGTGCACATAAAATCCTGCCATCACTTTGGAGCCACAATCCAAGCAAACAAATTCAAACTTCCCAGAGCACTGTCACTGTTCACATCTCATGCAGCACCTCCTGAAAACATCACACCTGTGTTCTCCTCTTCCTGTCCATGACTCAAAGGATGATTTCAGTCAATTCCATCCATTCAGCTGCAAGTAATGCTCCCTAAATTCCCTCACCCACTTTTCCATTCTCCTCCTTGCCCACAGAAGAGCTCATGGGTTCTCTGAGACAAGGGAAAGAAAAGATTCAGCTGGGTTCATTTCCAAGCATATTCCAGCTGCGTGTCACATCCTGAAGAAGTTCCACATTATAATTGCACAATGCCAAAGGGATATGGACGTGGCCTGGGTGCTCACACACCTGGATGCATCCAGTTCCCACTGGCAACAGGTGGCTCTGCTAGTCTGGTTTAAAGTCCACAGTAACATTTACTTGATATTGAGCTTCATACATTATTTAATGTTTGGGGAAGAGTTTATTCACTTGAGTGCCAGAAAGCCTTCTCTCAGGGTTTCCACAGGTGAATGTTTGCTGATCAGCAATTTAATGCTGTGACACTCACTTGTAAACTACCAACTAAGATTCAGAGTTACCCTAAGCACAGAAACTAAAACCCCAGAAACTAAGTCAGTATCAAAATTAAGTAGCAGAGAAGCTGCCAATAGCATTTCAGAGGAAAAAAAGCCAAAACAACCAAAAAACACTGAAATATCTCTTGTACAAAGAAAGAGGAAACCTACCAGCTTTATGTAGCATTGTTCCTACTGCAAGGGCTACAAAAACAAAACCAAAGAGAAGCCCAAGCACCATTCATGCATGAGAAACTACCTTCTATAAAGAAGAATGTTATGGAGTACATGCTACTCTAATGTGAGCTGGCATCAGACTGCAAAGCCTTGCTCCACATGTCAGCAAGACTGTCAGAGGCACACCACACTGTCACACTGCTCTCCTCCAAGGAAAAAACATCCTCTCACACTTAAAAAGCAAGTTACAGAGCTGCTCACTGCTGCAGCAGCAGCTCCTCTAGGATTTTAGAACTTTAGGGTCACATCAAGGAAATGCTCATCAACATTGAGATTTGTAGCTGGGCCATGCTGAGAACACATTCAGCTCAAGCAGCACAGGTGTCACCCACGTTGATATCCAAGGTCAGAATCAGATGCTCAGGTGTTGAGACAATGGGTCAGATATAAACTTTTTAACAGTTTCGTATTTGCAGGTAAGATTAAGAGCAAGTCTTCAAAAGTGGAATTACCTGGTGCCTGTGTAGACAACAAGAACACCAGGCTGCCACACCTGATACACTGCATCCAACCACAAGATGAACTGGTCAAATCCAGTGCCAAACAACAGCAAGGCCACACTCTGCAGGAATCAAGCTACAATTGTGAGGAGAGGTTTACAGGGGACCACCTTCAGGCATGGCAGAATATCCTTCCTTACCAGCAGGATGGCTGAATGAGCTGCACCCAGCAACACTTCTGACATGCTTCATGCATCTCTTCCAGCCCTTCAGAGAATTTGATAAAGATAATGCCACAGTAATGTTACTGTGGAACACATTTATCAAGATACCTTTGCAACTCAGGAAAGAGGGGTTTTTCCCTAGGTCACTTTTGCTGAGGTGAGCAGGAATTATTTATCAACTTGACAAAGGGGTGATCAAACCTCTAGTATATCTTACCAAAGTCTTTCAAAGTTATTCAGGTCCCTCACTAGGAGCTACATGATAAACAGAGCAGAAAACCTTTGTGCTTCTTTTGTGGATTAAAGTCTGATTTAAATCCTATTACTGCAAACCAGCAAAATGCAGTGATGCTAGGCTTTGCAAAGATGGTGGAGGAAAAGGGATTCCATCTGGATTCCTTAAAAACTGAATAAAGTGTAAACTCTAATAGTCAGAACATCTCTACAAAATTCTCTGGACCGTGAACTGGCCACAGAAGACTCAGAAAAACAAAGGCAGAGAGTTTTCCAGCTGGAAGCATTCTGAAAGACTGAAGGAAATCCATTGAGAACAAATTGACACGGCTGTTGTGACACAGAAAAATCATATTTGATAACAGAGTTACCTGGTTCCATTTTATCAGTGACAGTTTTAGTGCCTGTAACATCCTGGACTTTAATTAGTCCAGTAAGCTGCTGCTTCTCTCATTAACAGATGAGGATTGATTGTTGGTAGACACCAAGAACACATCCCATTATTTCTCTACTGGACCATCCTCAGTGGTGGATCTGGGGCAGACTGCCCTGCAAGTTTTCATTACCTGAATCATCTCTTCCTTTTCCAGTATAGAAAACCTCACGCTGCGATCTAAATTCCAGTTTTTGAAAAGGCAGAGGGTTAAACTACCAACCTGAGACTCAACAATTGTCCCTTCCAATTATTTAGTGCTTCAAATTGAGACATTCACACAGCACAACCTAGCAGTCATACACACACCCTCACTTACTACCACACTGAACACAGCTGTGATAGAGAGTAGGATTTTACTTCTCAGCAGCTTTTACTTTCCCTTGATCTTCCACTTTTTTGATGGCAGCTTGGATAGCTTCTTGATCACCCAGAAACTGGTGAGGGCCCAGAGGGTGCAAATTCTCATCAAGTTCAAGAAGTATGGGCACACCAGTGGGGAGGGTGACATTGATGATGTCCTCATCGGAGATGCCTGCCAAAGGAAAAAGGAACAGAGTTACACCTTCAGCTTCCTCAGTGCCTGTTTCTGAGGTTTCCTGGTCTTACAACAGTCAAGGACAACTTCCAACCCCCATCAACACCAGCAGCCACTCAAGGGTCAATTCCCAGCTGGGCCACAGCTTGGGAAGTGCTTAAGGAACAGCTGAAGGAGAGAATTCCCACCAAGGTGAAGACAGTTTCTTCACTTTTTCAGCCTACACGTGTGAAATAAACAGGAAGAGATTGCCCTGGAGACTGTTCCTTCAGTACAGGACATGGAGTACAATAGGTTCCCCTCTATAATTTCCCAGCTCACACATCACAAAAGATGATGAGATTCCACATGTGCTACTCCAACATGAAACAACCTCTGCCACACAGCCAATACACACTCCTTAAAAAGGCAGGACAACAAGGTTAATTTTTCTCTTAAATTTTCTGGGCAGCTCTTATCACACAAACTGTCATAAAAATCAGTATTTAATTCTTCTTGTGTGAGAACCACTCTTTGCCCACACCTGATTTCTCACAAGCAAGTTTATAGCAGGGTCCACAGCATTCTCAGAATTACTACATATAGGATATTCATTCCCACTTTCAAATGAGGGGAAGAAAAAGGAGGCAGAAAAGCCAACTTGTACTTTTTTCCACTTAACTAAAGGAATGTGTACACGCTTGTACTGGAAACAAAGTTTATTTTACACAGTTGTGTTATTAAAATATTCTGGGCTCTCATCTCAGTGAAATTGCAGGTTGTTTTTATATCAAATGCACATCCAAGAACACCAAGTAAATTTCAAGACCAAAGGTGTCAAGTAAATTTCAAGACCAAACATCCTAGTAAAGTTTCCACACAAGTTCTAAATAGTTGCACTGAAAGCAGTGACTGCAAAGACATCAACCCTCAAAAAAATCAGGCAAAAGCAAGTTAGTGCCATTTGGAATGTCAAGATTTCCCTTTCCCTTCCCTTTTCAGAAGCACTGAGGTCCCAGCAGCAGCCTGTTGTTGTGCAGCAGGGCACAGCTTTGAGTAATTCACTTGGAAAAAGCACATGACCAAGCTTCTAAAATGATGACACCGTATGAACTAGACCAAGGTGCACCAAGCAAACATTCTCCTGGAGCAGCTGACAAAACAGATGGTCCTCAGAACACAGGGGTGTAAATTTACCAGAGATTTTCACATTAAGCAGAAAAGCAGAGCCATCATACTAACAGGAAAACACACACATGAGTAAAGAAACTCAACTGTTGGGGTGACAACAGTTCAGAAAAAAACCAGAACTGTTCATGAGGTGAGGATCATGTGCCCCTGCCCAGAGACTGCACCAGCACCCAACTTTTGCAGTGACCTGTTCTTGGTTTATGCTCAGCACTTGGGTGAGCCCGAAGTTTCAGAAGGGCACCAGCCTTTACAAAAAACTTACATCTTGTTACATATTGAGCATCGGTCCACTGAAGTCACACTCAGCTTAAGCAATTCTTGCACACAAGGGACAATAATTAATCTGGTGTAGGCCACAGTACCAGACCTACAGAGGAAAAAACCTCAAAGAATATCTAAAATTTAAAAATGGCACAGAAATTAATGGGAAAAATACTACATCCATTCACCAGTCACGAGTACTGTGCTCAAGGACTTTGTTTGTAAAACAAGCAGCCAAGCTGCCTGAGCTCTTATTTCAAGGATTCTTAAGCATTAGACTTTAACAACACCCACATCAGCATGTATGTTCCCAGAGAATCTATGCCTAGGAAGTGTTCTGACCACCTCCTAAGTTCAGTCTCCCAGACTAAACCATTCATATACACACAAAACAGATGAAGTCATGCAGGAGAGTTTAGGCAAACCACATAATGTGGTCAGGAGACATGATATTTAAAAGTTTCCTCTGGAGATGGATTAAACAAAACTAGCTGTAGCTACATGGATTCAGAAATGCATTTTACTGTTTTTACAGAACACAAAGTGACCACAATGTCAAATAGTATCAATTTACAAAGCAAAACAGTGCAGTCTAGGATAAACACACAGCAGCAAACATGATGGCTTTCTCCTCAGGACTTTTCCTCATATTCAAGTGCTGCCCCACAGCCAGAAGTCTGGAAACACAAGCTGAAGTCAGATGAAAATCCTAAAGAAACAGCAGTGTCCTGTTGCTGTGTGCAGTATTTCTGTTCCTCAGGAAGCAAGAAGCTGAGCAAACTGGTCACACAAGCTCTTTGGTTGCAGGGAGAGCTCACCAGAACACTCCCCAGCCAAGTGTTGGAGTGCCAGGCACAGAAAATGTCCCTGTAGCTGTGCTGACAGGCTCAGGCACTCAACAGAACACTGGGTTTAACTTAAGACCATGGAGAAGGCTTCTAAAACTGAGTGGAGAAGCCGGGAATGTGAATATGTGAGTTAGACAGAATTATGCTAAGACAGTGGGTGAAAAATTTAGAGTTTGAGATAATAGTAGTGAATGACAGACAAGATGGATGTTCTAGGGCATTGGCTTGTCTTTGCCTTTTTTCTTCATGGTTTTGGGTGGTGTTGGGTGATTGGACAGAAGTATGGGACATGGGTGTTTGGTTATTGGGTTAGAAGTAAAAATAAATTAGTTGGCATTGGATAATTGGACAGTTTATGCTTAAAAGGCCTTGTAGACAGAGCCCTAGGTTGCCATTTGTAGCTTGTTGCATTAGTGTAGAAGTGCTTACTGTCTGTAAAAACGTAATATAGGTAAGAAAAATCAACATCCTAAATCCAAAAAGCTGTTTCTGTGCTCATCAGTCCTGATCCTGGGGAAAAGCTGAACACTTTTACACACAGGGAGCACTCCTTGCAGTGCTGGTGGCTGCAGTGAGAGCTGACTGCTATCCAGTTACTCCATGTGCTGTAACTGTAACCAGCTGACCTTTTCCTGCTGGACTGTGCCCGCAGCCAGCCCATGGCACAGGGAAGGGTGAAATCAGGGCAAGATCTCAAGTGCTGACTACAAGGTGCAGTGGTAAATAAGACCACTGAAGAAGCAACAATCTTCCCTCCAGTTTAATACCAAAGCACTGCTGAAGTACTGTGCTGCTCTAACTTTTTAATAATTATTTTTGTTTCTTTTTTCTCTCTTGATTCTGCTGCTGTGCTTCTTCTGCACTTCTTTTCACTCTTGGATTTCTCAGTCCCCTTTGGGCTGAGCTCCTTTGGGATACTCCCTCACAAGAAGGGAGTAAAACTGAGTTTATCTCTGGGTTTGAAGAAAACTCCCAAGCTCGTTAGGATCTTGTTTCTCGTGTTTATTAGGATGTTATTACAAAACTTGGTAAGTCTCTCTGGACTATCTGCACAAGTTCAATTCACCACAACCTGGCTCATTTTGTTTTGATGGTACAAAATGGCCTTGTGGCTCACTTTGGCTTTGAAAGCACAAAATGGCCCTGAACTATGCAGTTTTTTTATCTTTATACTCATTCTTATCCAATTAACAATAGACACATATATTATTTTTCTTAATGACCTAATGAAACATCACCTGTGTGCTGCACTGTGGCATTTTCTAACCCATCATTTACCATTACCCAAAAACTTTTAGAAGAAAATGAAGAAGGAAAAGAGACAACATTCTAAATCCTCCCTCTTGCCTTCTGCTCTCTAAACTATTTTAAACTCTAAACTAACTTTTTCACTCAGTGACTTAAGACAACTCTCTAATTTACACTCACTTTTAGCTTTTCTATATAACTTTAACAGTTGTTTTCATGTATCACTATGAAAACATGCTCATAAATTTCATGTTATATGAAATTCAGTGTTTTTCTGGATCTCAGAGCTAAGCACCAAAAACAAACTGCACACACTCTGTGTTTCAGATTCTAACATGCTGCTGGAAGCAGTCTTTGCCCAAGAGGGTTTAAAACCCAGCTCCTACCTACTTATAGTCCTGAGAACGCACAGACATTACTGAAGTACTCAGGATGACTTCCTCAGGAGCTCAGATAAAATGTTCAGCAGACAACTGCACTTCTCAAGTGGACATCTGCCATGCTGTGCCCTGAGAACACTGTTCCTCACCTGTATAGCAGGAAGCAGGTACAGGAACTCTACAGTAATTTGGTACTTATTATAATAAGAGACTTTTCAAAATTACATTCAAAATTCTTCCCCAGCTCACTTATCCTCCATTTAACCAAACTGGGTAACCAAACACACAAACTGGAAGTATCTCCATGTGGTAGCCCATGGAGTGCTTTGAAGTATTTGTAGCTTGCAAAGTCCTACAGAGACAAACCCCACTGATTTTGAGCACCTACAGCACTTTCACAGGGGTTGGCTCAGATTCCTCTTCCCTCTCACCTGTTCTTACCAAGTTCCTCCCTTCTATTCCTATGGTCAGGGGAACCCCAAACCCACAAGAGCTATTGAGAATAACAACAGGTCTCCTCTCTGCATGTCAACTGCACTTGAGGCCAGGTGATTCATCCAATAAAAGATCATACACATGATCAAATGCATAAATTCAGCCACAAAAGCTTGTTAAATACTGGTGCATTGTAATTCAGTTCCAAATCAGGTCATAGCATCCTTCCCACATGCTTAATGAAAATACTAAAGCTTTAGCCTAGTAAGGTAAATATTCAGAGCCACTTTCTGTCCTCCCTGCAGGCTGACAGAAGATCTAGCTTCAACAGGCCAGAGGAGGGAAATTAGCAGAGGGTTAGAATCTGGCTTTTGATCTTGACAGAATGTCAACTTGCTGTGCAAATTTTAAGGAAAGATAGATGTGTGGGTTACAACCATGGTGCACATCATTTACAATTGTTTCACTCACATCTGCCAAGACTTTCTGTCTGTATTAGGTTTGCACAGCCAGGCTTTAGTAGATGGGGGCACCAAGAAGGAACTCCCATCCTCAGCACAATGGCTGGGGAGAAAAGATGCAAAAATAACTTGTGGGCCAAGATAAAGGCAGTTTACAGAAGCAAAAGTAGAGGCCAAGCACAGAAGCAAAGAAAAACAAAGGATTTATTCTCTACTTCCCATCAGCAGACAATCCAGTCACTTCCCACTAATCAAGGCTCCAATATGCAGAGCTATTGCTCCAATGTCATTACAAATGCCCTTCCTCCTTTCTCTTAGCTTTTACTGCTGAGCAGACATCATATGGGGTAAGGAATAAACATCCCTTTAGTCAATTTGGGTCAGCTCTCCTGGCTACATCCCCTCCCAAAAGCTCCCCCAACCCCAGCCTACTTGGGGATAATGTTGGAGAGATATTCCTGATGCTGTGGAAGCACTTCAACAGAAACAGGGCAAAGTGGTCACAAGTATTACTTGTGTAAGTATTAATGTCTTCATAAAGGGGTGCTGTCAAGAGGGCTCCAATATGAAGCACTGGTTATTAGATAAAGAGAAAACTGTCCTCCCCCAAAGAGTTGAGAAAAAACACCTGCAAATAGATCCTGTGCATCCAGGATCATTTAGCATGACAGATTCTACAAACGTTCCATACACCTTAATGAGGTCCACGCAGTAAAAGGAGAAAACAAGAACAAAACCCAAACCCACAATCAAAGCCTTTTGAGCCTGATACTGTTACTCCAATGATTGCATGCAAGTAGAAAGCAGAACTACATGTCCATCTCTTTACCAATTACTCAGAACAAGGACAGCACAGATTCAGAGAATTGCAGGTCTGTTTCAAGAAAACACCTCCTTGAAATAATAACTTCAAGGGGTAGTCTGTAGTCTTTTATGAAAAAAAACTCAAATTGACACTGAAACAATTAGAATTGTTTCATCAGATCCAACTGAATGAAAACATTCCTATTTCCTGCCATTTAAAGTTTTGAGCTACATCTTCCAAGATCAAGTTAACATCATGACTAAGACATCCAAGCAGCTGTGCAAGATTGCTGCTCGAGGCATTTGGAGCCCAGTTTTCAAAATGCCAAAAAAAAAAAAAAGAAAAAAAAGGAAAAAAAGCTAAACTGGAGAGACTTAGAAAACTCCCTTCAAGCGCAGGACACACTAAGCTTATAAAAAAGAAAAATCCACAAAAACACAGCCCATTTCACAGTGGGTGCTATAAATACAGTTTAAGCATGGCAGAGTTTAAGCACTGTTGAATCAAGTCCAACTCTAGCAGGGTTCCAGAGCAACTCACAACCTTTCAGGAGAGAAAGGGAGAGACAGACAGCAACGCAGACAAGGAACCTCGTAGATCCAGCTAGTTTTAGGCCAAAGGAAAAAACAAAAACCAACAAAAACAAAACAACAAAGGCAGATTGTAACACCATGGGTCTCAAAGCTCTGTCCATGCTACCCTTCAGGCAAGCTCCTCAGAAATCCAATCTCCACCACATAAAGGGCAGGAGAGCCAGCAGGTACCTGCCAGTTGTTCCTGTGTGAGGTAGCTCACAAAAAAACACCATAACCAGATCTCTGCCAGGGATTGCTCACATTTCCCTATGTAAGCATATGCTGGGAGGGTGAAGGTGTACTGCAAGACAAAGGATAGCTTTATTATACTTGGAGTATGGGCACTCCTGGAAGAGTTACACAGAGTTAGCAACTGTCCCAAAAGAAAAGTCCTGCAGCACTGCTCCTCTCTGATCTCAGTGCAGCAAGAAATCCAGCCATGCTAACTCCAAAGCAGCCCTTGCCAGTCCCTGATGCTGCCAGCCCCTGTTTGCAGGCCTGCACAAGGAAGGAGCTCTGCAGGAACCTACATTCAGCTGTCACCATTTCACCCACAAAGGACTTGGCCAGCACAGTTTCATGGAGCTGGTTCAGTTCTTGGGAGGCAGCGGAGTCACCATAGCTGCAGATCCCTCTTCCCCTTTTCCCTTGATCACTTTACACAGTGTGGACAACCACTCTGACCACATCATGGAACTGACTGAACCAGCCCTTCCTCCTTCATCCAAGCAGTGATCTGCAGCCCAGGATAGACAGCCTCTCTAGTTCCAGAAGCCATTTGTACCTGTTCATTTCACAGACTTCAGACTCCTGACAGTTCCAGCATGGCCAAATGCAAAAAGTACTCAGCACGCAGAGCCATAGAACAGAGGATTTTATAACTGAAACACAAAACCGAGTGGACACAATCCAGTCTGTGCATATTTGTAACTACAACTGTACTAGGCTGCATTCACACATATATAATCACTAAATTCTGCTCTACCCACAAAGAAATTAATATAGTTCAACTTCCAGTTTAGGATGACCTAAAAGCCAAGAGATGAAAGAGGAAGGGAGGGAAGACTCTAACAATGAAAAGGATATTTTTTATCATAAAGTCACAAATAGGTCCTTTTCAAGACCAGTTCTGGGATTTCCAGTCAAGGTTAAGACTTGTTGGAGTAGGATCAGACGAGGGCCTCAAAAATGAACAGAGGGATGGAGCACATCTGTTAGGAAAGACTGAGCTGGGGCTGTTCAGCTTGGAGGAAAGAAGGTTCCAGAGGGCCTCTAAGAAAGATGGAAACAGACTTTTTTAGCAGGGTCTGTTGCAATAGGACAAGGGGCAAGGGCTTTAAACTACAAGAAGATAGTTTCAGACTAGATACAAGGAAGAAAATTCCTATGATGAGGCTGGTAAGACACTGGAACATGTTGCCCAAAGAGGCAGCAGAGATCCCATTCCTGGAAACATTCAAGGCCAGGTTGAACAGGACTCTTAACAGACTCTTAATCTAGTTGAAGATGTCCCTGCTTATTGCACAGGGACTGGACTAGATGGCCTTTAAAAGATATTTCCCAACACAAACCGTTCTGTGGTAAATCAACAGCCTTGCTAAGCTACCAATTTGGCTGTTTATTGGGATGCATTTTCTATATTGGGATATGGTGCAGTACTTGCACAAGCTTTAGCAAGTGCCTACTCCCTGTCACATAAATTTTAAATAAAAAATTATCAAGGTGACTGATCAGAGTAACAAGAACATCTCCCACAACCCAAGCCAAGCACTTTTATTCTGCTGTGTTACAGCAATGTTTTTTTAATTAAGAGATGATTATCACAGACCTGAAAAAGCAGCTGAAAAAAAAACCAAAAATAATGTCAGCCTGCAGAGTTTTTGTGTATCTAAACCAACCACAAAGTCTGTTTGAATACAGTAGTTTTAAATGAACAATGAGAAACAGAATGAAAGCATCTCGCCCTTTCCTTAACTACATGAACATAACTAATTCTCTCACCTTTCCACATGTCCCAGTTTGCTTCCTTGACCAACCTTCTACTTCCTCCTTGGAGATCACAGACACTGCTCAGGTAAGTAATATACACTACAGAGCAAGATATAAAGCCCCAAGCTGTTGAGTGAGGAGGAGAGGGGAAGGCTAAAACAAATGGCCTTACCTTCCACGTGCTTCAGCAATGCCCTGCTGCTGTTGCCATGAGCAGAGATAAGAATCATTTTGCCACTTTTCAGTTCTGGCACTATCTTTTCATTCCAATAGGGAAGGAGTCTATCAAGCACATCTTTGAGACTTTCAGCCTTTGGGAGATTCTCCTGAGAGACATCACTGCATTTATAGCGGCGGTCGTTGTATATCTCTGCGTAGTAGGGGTGAGATTCAGAGATGGGAGGTGGAGTAACATCGTAGCTTCTTCTCCAGATTTTCACTTGCTCCTCCCCGTGGTTCAGAGCCATCTCTGCTCTGTTGAGCCCGATCAGAGCTCCATAGTGACGCTCATTCAGCCGCCAGGAGCTCTGGATGGGGACCCACTCCTGGCCCATCTCTTCCAGGATCAGCCATGCAGTCTGGATGGAGCGGCTCAGCACTGAGGTGAAGACGAGGTCGAACTCGAAGCCCAGCGCTTTGAGGTGTTTGCCACAGTTCTGAGCTTCCTTTATCCCATCGCTGCTCAGCTTCTGGTCCACCCAGCTGCAGAAGCGATTCTCCTTGGTCCAGGCTCCTTCCCCATGTCTTAGGAGAACGAGCCTATACTTTGCCATTTTGGTTGCAGCTTAGCACAGATAGCAGCTGGTCTGACATCTAATAACAATACATCTGGACGAAGACATGAGAGAGACACATCAAACATCCCACAGATAATGCGTTACAAATAGCAAAACGGCAGTGAAAAGTAAACAACTATCAGAATCAAAACAACCAACAAAACAAGTGTCTGCTGAGTATGATTTTACAATTGAGAGTGGGAGGAATTCCAAACCAAGAGACCTCACGTGGGAAGGAAAATGCCGTTCTTCACCCAGCTTGTTGCAACTAGCCCTCTTAAACAATTGATTAGGAGCAGATTTGTACAAGCTGCTCCAGCCTACAGGTTTCTCTCAAGTGCTTAAACAGAGCCTCACTCAGTACCACAGGCTCCCAGAGCAGCAATCTCCCTCACTGGGGGACTCTGAGGTGCCACATGTAGCTCGAGCCCACGAGGGCTCTCCAGACCCTCACTGCTCTGAGGGGATGCAGGCACAGACAGCAGCTGTGGCCCTCAGAACTGCAACTGGCAACACACAAAACCTTATCAGCTTTTCTCAAAGGAGATGCCAACATAATCACACTCTGCATAATTTCCTCATATCCCCATCCTGTCCTGCTAATTATGCCAGTCTATGCTTGATTTTTTTCCCCAGGCCACCTCCTCCATGCTCTAGTGTGACAACACAGATACTCCAGGATGCCATGCTCATCTAGTAAGTCCTCATTTCACTGAATCTGCAAGCGACCTCACAGATTATCCCATCCTCTTCCTGACTTTCAAGTCTGTTTTTCCTCTCCTGTCTGTGAATTACAATGCCAGATTCATGGGCACCAGGATTAATGTTTTTACTTTTGGTGTGGGCACAAAAGGCCTATTTGCTGTCCTCATTAAGTCAGACAGCTACACATTCATAAGGCCAAACAGTACCTTTCTCTTTTTTCTTGACCAAGCAGCATCACCTCTGGACTGACTTCAATGGCAGATACATTCTAACAACACATCCAAGGGTCTGCCAGGGTGGTCAAAGATCTGCTAGCAGATGATGGGATGCCTGAAAAGTCCATCTAACACAGGACTGCAACTCTGAAAACCCCACCTGATCCCTCTGACCTGAGACACAGGCTAGATGGAATGGACAGAGCAGGGGAAAAATATAAAAACACAACTCTCTGCACTGGGGGAACTGCTGTACCTCAGATGAATATAAAGTGCTCTCAAAACCATGGACAGTGGGAGACTGAGCTCTGATTTCTGCACACCCAACCTTGGGCTTATTTCCGTAAGAAACACACTTAAGGGAGCTCCCATCATTTCAAATCAGCTGGAGCTGCTTCCATCACACTCCAAGTATCTCAAATTCAAGCCCAGTGTGACCCTGAATTAGGTCAGTAGGATGGGATAGGCCCATGCATTCTAGGTTTTGGGAAACACCCAGCACAATACCAGCATTCATTTTTCCAGACTTTCAAAAAAAAGCATCTAGAAAAGTTAAATTCAGGAATCTGATCTTGCAGCTTAGTTCTCCTCTAAACTCATGTTAAGACAGCGTTTACATCACACAAAGGCACTATGCAAAACCCCCCCAATGCTAACTTCTGCCTAATGGCACAGCTCAGGATTAAAAAGCCTTTGAGGACTGAGATTTTTACAGTGTATCAGGAAATATTGTTTAACACACAAAACCAAAACCAAAAAATGTTGTACTCGAGAAGTACAAAAGAAAGTCTTATTTCATGCAAAGGCAGGCTGAGATTTGTGTAGGGCAAGGAACATCTCAGACAAAATTGCCTGCACAGTCCACTTTTTCCACTCCTGATAATCAGCTGCACTTTAAGCAAAGAAATCACCTATTGCTAGGAGTCAGGTGTTATATCACATCAGACCCAACACTAAACTGCACCCTGTAAGATCCAGGCTTATAACAAAAACAAGTATTTGATAGAATTTCCACCTAAAGCAACTGGTTCTTACTCAACATACCAGAGATACAATTAAAAAATTGCACTGTGTTCACAGTATGAGCTACTACACAAAACAGCTCCACAGAAAGCTCTATCTCTGCAGATGCCTCATTATTCAGATTAGTTTATTCTATTATCCACAGGAATTAATTGCATAAGCTACAAAACCAAATTAAGACCCAACAATAGGGGTGATGCACTTCTTTGCCAAAGTTCAGTTGGCATTTTAGCCAAAAGCAATAAGAAATTTAGCTAGTATAAGAAACACAGTTACACAAAGACCAAAAATCATCTGGGTGCCATAAACTCCAGTTCACTTATATAAAACATTAGGCAGAAGCGCAATTCTCAAACAAATTCAGAAAGAGCTAGCTGACACAGAGTTGTTTAAATATCAGTCCACTTCTGGAAGCACTTAAACTAGAAAGCCTTAGAGCAACACATGGAAATAATCCTACTCACCTTTCCTATGGCAAAGGAACAACCTACACAAATCCCAGTACAGGCTCAAGAGCTGCTTTATACAGAGACCACCACACACTCTTGGCTGGTTACCTGCAGGGAAAGAATAAACACTGAGCGCTCACGGAAAGAGCCCACAAGTGCAAATGGTCATACCAGACACCATTTGCTCCCCAAGTTGTTAAAAAAATAGAGCACACGCCCCTTGTAAGGGCTGGGAAAGTTACCAAATGCCTTCTCCCAAAAAGAGATGCCAATGCACAACTCCTGCATTTCTAACAAGGGAAAGTTTCTGGTCTCCCACATGCCCCGGGATATCATTTGCTTCCTAAGATTTGTTTAGGCTGCAATTACATAGCTGTAGCGTGCAGAAATCTACCAAAAGCTCTTGGACACCATGGAGGATACAGAGAACAGACATGGATCCAGCACAGAGGCACTGGAACAGGATATCCATAGAAGCTGTAGGTGCCCCATCGCTAGAGCTGTTCAAGGCCAGGCTGATTGGAGTCCTGAGCAACGTGGTCTAGCGAAAGGTGTCCCTGCCCATGGCACGGGGGGTGGAAATAGATGGCCTTTAAGGTCCCTTCCAACCCAAAGAACTCTGTGGTTCCGTCTGTGATAGAACAGAAACCCAGAGCTCCAGCTCAGCACAGGAGAGCAGCGCACGGTGCTCGAGATAACATCTTACACCGGCGGATCTCTCGGCCAAGCACAGCTTTAAGGTCTAACACCAGAGGCAGTCACTTCCAGGGTTCCTGCTCCAGCCGGGACAAGCTCCCCTACTCATCCCTTTTATAAGGCGTCCCTGTGCGGAGCACCTGCGTGTCCCAGCCCTCCCCGAGCACGGAGGCTCGGCCACAAGTAGGGCAGCACCTCCCGGACAGGCGCAAACACCCGCGGCTGCCAGCGCGGGGCGGCGACCCGCACACAAACACAAACACGGCCCGGGGCCCGCGGGCACGGCCCCGGGGCACACACGCGGTGCCTCGCAGCCACCGCCCCCTCGGGAAACCGCCGCTTCCCCGGGGCACAGCCCCACCATCCCTCCCCGGAGCGCCGGAACAGCCCCGCCGAGGGAGCCCCCCCCCGAACCCAGGGGAGCTCCACCTCCTGCCCGCTTCCCGCTTCCCGCTCCCCACCCCGAGCTCCCGGCAACGCTCCCGGGAATTACCGGGCTGAAGCCGCGCTGCCTCACGGGGAGCGCCGGAGCCGCCGCCGGGCCGGCCGAGGGGAGGACCGCGCGTCTTATTGCGAGAGAGGTGCACTCTGATTGGCCGGCCGGCGCGATGGACAGCGGCCCCAGCCAATGGGCGCGGCGCGGGGCGGTGACGCGCTGCCCCGGGCCCCGCGCACAGCCCGGAGCTGCCGTGCCCGGCGGGGCTCGGGGATGCTGCGGCCATCCCGGCCCTCCTCCCTCCGGCCCTCCCGCGGCAATGCCGGCCTCCCGGAGCGGGCCCATCTGCCGCCAGGGATCGCGGCAGAGATGCTGGCTCCCCCCGCCGCTCTGGGCACGCAGGCGGCGCTTTGTGAAGCGGGGAAACGGGGTCGCGCCAGCGCACGACCGGAGGCATCCAAACCTCTGGCTTCTCCCGAAACCGCTTTAGGACCTTCTGGTTTTGGTAAAAAGCAAGGGTCCAAAATCTAATTACTCATAATGAAATCAATACCCAAAAGAATAAAAGAATTAGACGCGTGTCTTCCTAAGGATCAAGCTAGCTCCCTCATTCCCACAGGCTATAATCCAAATATAAAGTAATTAAAAACAAGGGGATGGAGCAGCTCTAGTTCGAAACAAGAGGGAAGTGGTGTGGGAAGATGGTGTCCTTTAGTGCTTCTATTGCCATAGGTCTGATTTTATCTTAAAGAAGAAGCAGAGCACATCTTTCATACCCCCTCAGAGTCATAATTTCTTCTCTAAATGCTTACCCTGAACAGCCACGAGGTAAAGCTTAGAGGGCCACAAACTGAATGCAAACCAAATGTTTCATCCTCTCTGCAGGGGATAGAGGTGATCTTCCCTTTTTTAATAAGTTAAAAGACTGCATGAAAATAAAAGATTCTGATAGGAAAAAGTGACATGATTAAGAAAATTTGGGGCAGAGGTATTAAAATAATATCTCTGTTGTGCTGTGAAGAGAAATGGTCTGATTTTACATTTATAGGGATTAGATCCGAAGATGTCAGTGGGAAAGAAGGCTAATCCAAATGAAACACTGCTTTGCTAGGCTCACAGCACTAGCAAAGTGCTTACCCTCAGTGGTAAGGGTGGCCAGGCTGCCGGTGAGCAGCGTCCTGCATCTCTTTGGTGGTTACTGCACTTTGTTCCTCATTCATCTGGGAAGCTCTAGAAAGCATCCTGCATCTCAGGGAGAATACTTTCAATGCCTTCCCTGATAGAGCTATTCCTGACCCCACCACAGAACCACAATAAAATGTGCTGCTTCTGTAGAATATTTCTACTAGTTGTGCATTGTACTTAACAGTTACACATAAAATCCTTTTCACCTCATCCACCAACTTTAACAACCAACTTTACCTTTCATTCCTGTCAGCTTTGTTTAAGCCAGAACTTAAGAGTATAAACCCAGTCCAGCCTATGTAATCAAAGCAATACTCAAGTTCTTGGTGTAGAAGAGTTTGATTTGCCACCCATCAGCTCCAACTGGTGAAGAGAAATGCTCCCACACCCCCTGCACGACCACACACCTGCAGTCACCATGCCTTCAGGCAAACTGGTTGGCTGACTTTGTAAGGAAAAGAAGCAAAGTTCCTAGAGATAGAAGGAAAAATAGCTTTTCTTGAATATCAGAACTATGTGCATTGGCTGTACATCAATCATCAAGAATACAATTAACAGAAAGAAACATTCTATGCCAATGTGCAGTCGTGAGTGAGTAGACAGTACCCCATGCCACAATCCAGGACCTCTATGGCAAATAAATACAGATTTTTGTCTCCTTTAGTCTTTAGGCAAGACCATTTCATTAGCATGGCAAAAACAGCCTAATGACTTTGATTCACATTTCAAACTATCCAAGGACAGAGAGTCAAAGCCACAACCCTGTGCGTGACTTCTTGCAGACAGCTACACTCACTAGGCAGCTATTATCTCTCAGACCAGCTGGCTTGTGTTTTTCAGGATCTCTGCTCTGGAGCCCTTCCAGCCTGTTGCATTTAGCTGGAATGTTTGTGGCAGAATTAGTCCAGGAAACTCTTTTCCTCAACCCATAAACTTCCACCAGGGCACCAGTGCAACTGCACCGCTCTGAATAAAGGCCTGGAGCTGAGCAAGGCAGATGCAGAAGAAAACAGAACTGGAAGGAAAAAAGGCTGATTAAGGATTGATTAAAACCGTGGCAAACAGGAGTCTTCTTCACTGATTATAGCCTTGGTACTCTTTCACAGAATAGTTACTTTGTTCAAAGCCAGATCCAGTGTTTGCCACAGAGCATTGCAGACATTCCCATTTTAATTTCCAGAAAACCCTGAGCTATTTGTTTAGAACTATTTGATACATGATCTGTCTTCATTAATAATTTCATGCTCAAAATACTGTAATGAAAATGAAATGAAAAATTCTGTAATCAAGTCCTTGCACTCTTTAATAACCCTGAAACCCTCTCTCTAAAAACTTCTCCTGTGTTTTCCTACATGAATTTACATCTCCTTTTCTAGACCCTCCCTACTCCTTTCCAGCCCATTCTCTCTGCTGCCCAGATGTGTGCCCAGGGACTCTCCCTCACTTTTCTCCTGGGATGCAGGCTCGTTCAGGTAATTTTCAACACTTGACATTTCTTTCCCCTACAAAAAACCTAGATCTTTCCTGTCTACAAAAGAAAACCTGTCTTTCCTCTGTCTGCCATCCAAGCTATTGTCTCACATTCCTCTGCAACTATTCTGATAGCCCACAGACAAATTTGTATGGAGAAAGCTCTGGGTGTATAACACACTACAAAGAGAAAAACATCCTTACTGCCTCCTGAGGATTCAGAATTACAACAGTGTAAAATTACTCTGGCTAAATCCATCTCTTCATATGTCTCTACGCACCAGATCTCGGTCTGTAACACAAGGAAAATGAACCTTTTTCCATCAGAGCTCAGGGAGCAGGAGCAGGCAAGGACATGCCAGGCTCCTGTCTCTCTGTTGGAGCCACTCACCACATCTTGCAGTACCCACACATGTGGCTCTCAGCATTTCCTTGGCTGCAGCACACCTGTGTGTTGGTAATTTTTCATCACACACCTACCCCTATTTGTCAACATATCACACCAGCACATCTAAAACCAAGCCTGTTATTACCTCAGACTTGGGGGTGCACCTGACAGAGCAGCCAGGCACACCTTGCAGTCACCCAATTACAATTTAAGCTCCTTGGCAAAGGCCCTTTTTCACCTTTAGTTTCACTAGTTTAGGTACTGTTCAACACCTGCTCAATACAATGTTCCTTTCCTGTGTTAACACAGTGGGGCTTTCATCCTGTTTGGGTAAGGAGGCAATACACAACTTCAGTAGATTCTCCTTCTATCAAAAGCAGAAGTATAAGCTCATGTGAAGAGAAAATAAAGTACTCTACCTTTTTTTTTCTTCTCTCTCTCTTTCTCTCTCTCCCTCTCTCTAACTGCATTACTTGGAGGGAAAATCTGTTTAAAAAAAAAAAAGAGAAAAAGTTGAGTGTGTCAGCACTTTTAAACTAACCCTGCATTTCTCACCAGAATCAGAACTTTAGTCTTTAAGGAAGTGCAGAAGTTTTTCTGCATCATTAATACCAAATAAATGACAAAGAAGGAAGAAGAAAATACATAAAAGCTCTCATTATATGCAAAACAGATGGAGGAAAGCTGCTTTGTGAGGCATCATATTCTAAACCTGAAGTGGGAACTGAATTTTTTATATAATCCCAATAGCTAGTTACTGATAATGTTATTCTGAAGTAAAAAAGATTACTTCTGTTTGTTCTTCTGAAATATTAATTAAAAAAAAAATATTTCTAGATATCCCAAGCTGAGAACACAGGCATGGGAGAAAAACTTATATTCTCCATGCCCTTAAAACTATTACATTGTCATCTTCAAATAAACACCTCAGCCCAGCAGGTGCCTAGAACATACAAAAAAGTGTGTGGAACACAATGTTCTGAAGAAATCTTCATGGATACAGTTCTAGTCTTCAAAAATACCTCTGAAAAAAAGTTTTACAAGGTATCAATGGCTATGAAAACAAAATTCTTTCTCACAATCAAAAGTTTTCCCATTTCTAGAGCCAGAGACAAAATCTGAAGATTTACAAGGTTCACTTTTAAATTTTGTGAGTTTGGAGGGGTTTACATTTCAGATTTTGGTTTGGAGCATTTCACTGGTTTTTAGTCACAATATTGTCCAAATTAACTTCTTGTAGCAGTATCAAAAGCAAAGAAAATCCTGTGATGAAATCTGCTTTTTTGCCCTCATAATAAACAAAGTGCTCCAGACACCAGACGTCAGTAAGGAACTGTCTGGGAAGAGATAATTTTAAAGGGCTTTGAAAAAAGAAAGCAGCAGGGTGGTGTCTAGTCACGATAAGTTATTTTGAAAACACACTGGATAGTGCTGATACTAGAGCATGATGACAGCACATAACAATCTGAGCAAATACAACCAAAAAGGGTAAAATGGGAACTTTTGTGTCATTGCAGAGAATGGTGAGAACAACAAACACACACTACACATTTAAGTTCATGTGTATTAACTTTCTTGCTATGAAAAATTAATGGTTCACCTAAAAAAAAAAAAAAAGCTGCTCTAAAGTCTTTTATTTCCATGTTACAATGAACCTTGGATTAACTAAGACTTTGTTGATGTGTGTGTGTAGAGTTATCTCTCTCTGTATTTATGATGTTTGTTTTCTCACAAATTTGATTTTCTTGTACAAATCACAAAGACTTTTCTGGTGCCTCTTGTGTTTCTGTCCATGGTATGTGGGTCTCTTGCATCACATCATTTCATAAATCAAGACTGGCTGAAGTTCAGTTTGGTTTTGAATGGAGCACAAAAATTACCTTCTTATATAAAAAGTCTGTCCTATGTGTTATGGTCACATAATATCAAGAGAAGGACTGAGTCACACAGTTCTTCCAGTTTACTGTAACTCCTCAGAATTCACTGGAGCTGCTCCTGACCGTAAAAAGCAACAAAATCAGGCCTCTCTTTTACGGGATTGTTTCCCAGGAAACTTTAGGACTTAGGTTGCTAAATAAATAGCTGTGTATCGCA